CACCACGATATGACTTTTCTGACCAGTCACAACACAGATCACATTTTCATTGTCAAACATTCACACTGTTAACAGTATTCATCCGGTAATACTGCCTCATTCATTTGAGGAACTGTCCAGAGGATAAGCCCAGACCACAAGAGGCTAAATTGGTCAGCTTTGTTGTTCCTTGTGAATTATTTCTCCATTTCTAAAAAATACAGAACTTCCTTGAGCTGAGATCTCGCCTTGATTGTCAGCCCTGTCTTCTCCCTTCAGGTTGGATGCATTCTGGCTACCCAGTCATGTGCCATTTGGAGTCAGTGAAGGAGCTGGTGGACATGGAACACATACAAGCAAATGGAATGTGGGGTCCCATCCATGAGCTGGGACACAACCAGCAGCAGGCAGGCTGGGGATTCCCTCCTCATACGACTGAGGCCACCTGCAATCTGTGGTCGGTCTATGTGCATGAGAAGGTGCTGGGGATCCCTAGAGAGAGAGCCCATGGAAGCCTACAGCTACAGCAACGCAAGAAGACAATCAGCGATTACCTTGAGAAAGGAGCCCAGCTAAAGGACTGGGATGTCTGGACAGCCCTGGAGACCTACCTACAGGTAGCACAATGATTCATAAGAATGTGTCCGAAGGCAAAAGTTTCTGTAAGGCAGGCGTGGCCGACCTGTGGCTCGCGAGCCACATGCAGCTCTTCCCCATCAGTGCAGCTCGCGAAGCCGCCCCCGCCTCCTAGCTCCCCTGTGCTCACGGGGGCAGGGGAGCCATCCGGATCCAAAATGGTGGATCTAAAATGGCGGCCATGGACAGGTGCCTGCTGAGGCCAAAAAGCCTTCTTAAAAGGCCAGTCGTTTTTTTCCCCCTATCATTTTGGGAGGGAGAGAGGACTCCTTTTTTTTTTCTACCATTTTTTTTGCCCTGGCTCTTCGTCCTTGATCCAGCTGGATCGTGGCTCTTCATCTGAAACGGTTGGCCACCCCTGCTGTAAAGGATGCTGGCTGGTTTGTGTTTTCCACAATCATCGAAGCAGGCACCATAGGGAGAGAACTCAGGACCTTCTCTCTCAAACTTAGGCCCCTCCTACTTGGGATCCATGAAACTCAGTCAGTGGAAGGCTTATTTGTTCTACAGGCCTCAGGTCAGTGGAGCACAACACACTGGCACAGAATTACAGATCTACTTCCATGTGTCTAGTAGAAGGCAGTTTTTCTAAAAGCCACTGTGTAAAAACAAAACAAAACAAAAAACCCACCTTTAGTCTCCAGACACAGTTCCGGCATGCAAGGCAGAATTAGGGTATGTCTAGACTGCAAGACTATTTCGGGATACTGGAGGTATCCCAGAATAGCTACCCCGCGTCCAATGGACGTCTGCTATTTCAAAATATTTCCACGAGGAATAAGGGATGTCTCAAAATAGTGCTTTATTTTGAAATGTGGCTTTGTGTAGATATGCCAAATTTTGAAATAGCCTATTTTGAAATAAAATCAAAATAAGATATGCAATTTCTAGGGGCAGGCTAGACGTACCCTCAGGCTGTGTCTACATTGGCACCCTTTTCCAGAAAAGGGATGCTAATGAGACAAGTCGGAATTGCAAATGCCGCGGGGGATTTAAATATCTTCCGCGGCATTTGCATGAACATGGCTGCCGCGCTTTTCCAGCTCAGGGCTTTGCCGGAAAAAAGCGCCAATCTAGACGGGATCTTTCAGAAAATAAAGCCTTTTCCAGAAGATCCCTTATTCCTGATTTTAAGAGGAATAAGGGATCTTCCGGAAAAGGCTTTATTTTCCAAAAGATCCCATCTAGACTGGCGCTTTTCTCCGGCAAAGCCCTGAGCTGGAAAAAAGCAGCAGCCATGTTCATGCAAATACCGCGGGGGATATTTAAATCCCCCGCGGCATTTGCAATTCCGACTTGTCTCATTAGCATCCCTTTTCTGGAAAAGGGTGCCAATGTAGACACAGCCTTAGAGTCCTTCATTTTAGTGACAAATAGAGTCTGAAGGGTATTAAAGTGCTTAAAAGTGTAGGTGGGCACCTCCTGGGATTTTCAAAAGACACCCATTAGCATCTGTAGGGAACTAAATACTTTTGAAAATCTGACCCTAAAAACTAAGTTATTACTCCAGTTAGTCATGCGTAATCAGCAATCCAGGAGAGAGGAAGGTGAATTCTACACCATCAGAGGTGTTTAATGGATTTGCGCAAAGGCTGCTGATATGAAGTCCATGATGTTGCACAGAAGCTAACCATAGCTAATCAGAAGCTAATTAGATCATTAAAATATTTCTCATTGATGAAGATGTATAAAAAGGAAAGATCCCAGTGCAAATTTCAGAGAGCTGGTGGCTAGACAAAACATCTTTTTATCTGTAAACTGAGCATACTAGGTAGTGAAATAATTGGGAAAAAATAATCTTGGAGTCCCAGGATACAATTATTTTGAAAGCAGTTGCTTTTCAGAGTAGAAATATACTGCAAAATTCCCTTTTTCCTTCCACACTTAACTCTGATCACTGAAATATAATTTCTGTGCCTTACCCCAAAATGATAACATGATCAGATAACCATTTAAAGGTCATAAGGTGTGATTAGCAAGAACTGTAGATTTTGTAATGAAGGCTATGTCTACCCAGCAGCATTATTTCGGAATAACTGACTTTATTCCAAAATAACATAATGTCAAAATAATGTCGAGCTGGAGGACTTCTTACTCAAACTCCTGTAACTCTCATTGTATGAAGAGTAAGGGAATCGGAGAAAAGTGCTCTAACCCAGACTTCCTGCTGTGTAGATAGCTCCAAAAGCCAAAATAAGCTGTTTAGACTTAAGCTATGCAATTGACATAGCTCAGGTTGTGTGGCTTATTTCGGCTTTAGCTCTGCTGTATAGATGCGCCCTAATATGCATAACACAGGATCAAGTTAACCTTGGGGGACTTTTAATGCTGTTTTTCATGCTTTTCAGCTGCAGGAAGCCTTTGGATGGGAACCCTTCATCCAACTCTTCTCTGAGTATCAGACAATGTCTAACATCCCCGAAGACAACCCTTCCAAGATGAACCTGTGGGCAGAGAAGTTCTCTCAGCAGGTGAAAAAGAATCTGGCCCCTTTCTTTGTGGCTTGGGGCTGGCCCATCCAGGAAGAAGTCTCTAAGAAGTTGGCATCTCTGCCCAACTGGGATAAGAACCCTATGAAAAAAATGTGATGGCAGCTGTAATTTCTAGACACGATTCAAAGAGTCAGTTATCTTTTCTATAAGGCTAAATTACAATGTAGGAGGCAAGGATATTATCTGTTTCATACTCATTGGCATTTTCAGAGTAATTTTTCTTGTCCATGAGAAAAATGTGACCCTGAATTATCTGTTCATTTTTTTGGAACTGCTCCTGCTGGCTTTGTTCACATGGAACATCATCTTACTCTTTGAGAAATCCCATTGATTGTAATGTGGGGCTACTTATGGATAAAGACGACTACTTGTAAGGAACAGATAACGCCAGATGAATCAGGGAAACAAACAAAACAAACCACAGCATTGGGTATCCTCCAAGCCTCTAACATTTTCATAACATATTGTAGTTGTGTAGCTCAGTCACTGTTATCTATAATTTGTCGCGAACCATTTGGAGAATAGGGTAATTTGTCCATTTCTTTCACTCTCTCATTTTTTGATACCCCAGTTTCTCAAAATGCTTCATCTCGATTGTCTGCATAAAGTAGGTATCTGCCACATGCCTTCGGGTGAAAACAAGCAAACAAGCTGATTAAAAGAAGTTGTTAGGGTTTCCCCCGCATATTTCTTCTGGTAGATAAATCTCCCATTTCTTCGCTTTTGGAGACCATTCCAAAGTGTAAGAAGAGATGTTTCCTGATATCCAGTTCACCTCTGCATGTTGTGCTCAGTTGCACATTGATCATCTTAACCCAGAATTAGCGACGTTAACTAGTGGGTATTTGTATAAATGTGTAACCACTGGACATTTTAGCCATTACATGTTTACACGCTTAAAAGCCGGCTCCTGCAAATATTGGCTCTTGCCTGCCCCTCCTCCACGCTGCTGCTTCTGATAGAGGTCGTAGTGCGGGGGGCATGCCGCTCTGCGGGAGCTGATATGTGCGGGGAGCCACCTTGAAAGCCACTTCTCAAGTGTACTAGCCCCTGCCTGCCCCTGCCACCCCGTGCTGCTGCCTTTGTGGGAGGTGAGGGGAAGATGGCTCTGCAGAAGCCGGAACACATGGAGAGACAGCTTAAAAGCTGGGCATGTCCCCCCCCCCGCCCCTCCCGGATGCCTCTGTGGGAGGCTCCTCAGAGCCAGTATGCATAGAGAGCCAGCTTAAAAGCTGGCTCCCTGCATGTATCAGCTCCTGCCTGCCCCACACTCCTGTGCTGCTGCCGCTGATACAAAGACAGTGTGTGTGTGTGGGGGGGGGGGGGGGAGGATGCGTGTAGTCAATAGGATTAACCAATAAACCCAGGTTTATCAGTTAATCATGTAATCAACTACATGTTGACATCCCTACCTGGCATAGCCATGTTGTTCCCCTTCTGGGTCCACATACAGTTCTCCCAGTTAGGGATGTGAATAGGTAATGGTTACCAGTTTTGATTAACCAATGGGGGCTGAGCTACCCTAGCCCCACGGGGCCCATCACAGGTTGGGGCTGCTCCAACACGGGCAGTGCCACTCCAGCCCAGCAGCAGGTAGGGACTGCCCAGCCCAGCGTGGCAGCCTCCTCTCCCACCCTGTAGCCTGTACAATTAAGATGCTTGCCTGCCATCCCAGATAACGTGTTTCTGGGTTGATTTATACTAATTTAGGATTATATTCATTATTGCATTGTATTCATAATATTTATTCTCTATGTAATAGATATTCTATGAAAGGCTTTCATTATATTAAGCTGTAATGCAAGAAACCTACAGGCCTGTATCCTGTAAGAGCAGCTAAGGCATATTGTAGGGAGTTGCACAGGCAACTTTTATCCCAATTATAATGCTTGCTCAGCTCCATGTGCTGTCCCTCATCTACAGGCACCAACCCCACAGCCTCTACTGGCCATGGCTCTCCATTAGTGACCAATGGGAGCTGCAGGAGTGGTGTCCACAAGCATTTGGACTAAATGGGAACTAAACACAGGAATCATAGTGGAACCATATCATTTTGGGATTAGTCTGTCTGACACCAGAATCATTCAGTAACTGCAAAAGTGCCAACAAAGCAAAGATGTTACTGGAAGGGTCAGAGGCAATGGTTTCAGGAATGAGACCATTCTAATGAATATGTAGTAGTAAGTATCACACTCAACTAACCTATAGAATAAGTGTACCCATTAATTTTTAGGGTGCAGAAGTAAATTGTGGTCAGAGTAGCCTGGGGTGGAATCAAGCAATGCCAAGACGCTATAAAATATCCACATTGCGTAGATTAGGTAGCTTCCCTTTTTTTGTTTTAAACTTTTTTTAAACCTTTCTTTGACTTTCTTTACTTTATTAGGCTCTCTAGGTTCTTTAAACTCCAGCTCTCTATGCTGTCCATTCTATTAGCTTAACTTACAGCAAGGGTGGGCAATAATTTTTGAAGGAGGGCCATTTTGCCAATTTCTGACGTGGCCGTGGGCCACTGTGGAATGGGTGGGGCCAGGAGACTTTGCCACCCACAGACTCTGATTGGCCTGAGGGAGGGGGAAGTCTTAGCCCTCCTCCCTGCCAGGGGTGTGCAGTGCCTAGAGAGAACAGCCAGCTGTTTTGAATTGCTGGCAGTTCCCTCTGTGCCATGTGCCCCTTCACACACTCCCCCATCCCCAGGTCTCAATTGGCCAGGGGGCAGAGCAGTAGCAGGGTGGCCACAGGCCAGGAGTCCTTTCAATTGCTGCTATTGAAAGGGCTCCAGGAGCTGGGAACCCTTTAAATAGCCACAATTGAAAGGGCTTGCACTTCCCCAGTGGCTCTGAGGAAACATCTTAGCAGCAGAGCCAGGGTCTGTCACGGGCTGGATCAAAGTGCTAGGCCTCTTGCCCAGCCTTGGCTTATAGTATAGCTTAGCTGCTTTACACTCTACCTACTAGGACCTTCAACTTCATTGGCATGGCAGAGGCAAGGCTGGTCTATGCTTCCTTACATCAGGTCTCCAGGAAGGGTTGTGAGTATGCGGGGCTAAGGAATTCTTTAATTGTAAAGTTACCAGAGGGAGTCCTTGATATATATAGGCTACGGCTAGACTGGCGTGATTTTCCGCAAATGCTTTTAACAGAAAAGTTTTCCTTTGAAAGCATTTGCGGAAAAGAGCATATAGATTGGCATGGATGCTTTTCTGCAACAGCACTTTTGCGGAAAAGCGTCTGTGCCAATCTAGATGCGCTTTTGCGCAAAAAGCCCCAATCGCCATTTTCGCGATCGGGGCTTTTTTGTGCAAAATAAATCTAAGCTGACTACACTGGCCCTTTTGTGCAAAGTTTTTGCACAAAAGGACTTTTGCCCGAACGGGAGCAGCATAGTATTTCCGCAAGAAGCACTGATTTCTTACATGAGATCGTCAGTGTTCTTGCGGAAATTCAAGCGGCCAGTGTAGACAGCTGGCAAGTTTAGACACAGCCATAGTGTTTTAGCAACTTCATGCCTTTTGATGTTTCTCACCTTTTTACTTGTTTTAATAAAGGTAGTAACAAATTGGTCTTGTCCTCTACTTGCCTTTGCCACATGAAATGAAATGATTCTCACAGTTTATGCTTGATATTAAAGATTATGGCTCTTGGCTTGACACACTTGAAAAAAACTTTAGCACTTTTATATATGCAAAAAGTGTATATATAGTCTCTTTTGCTGTTGTGACGGGTGTCCAAACACATTTCATTTTATGTTTCACAAGAAATTACTTCATTTATTTTATTTAGGAGACCACTAATCACAGTTCCTGGAATGAGACCCATAGCCACTAGTTGACACTGTCAGGCTAGATGATAGTGCAGTGACTTGCTGCCGGTCATCATGATAAACACTTTCCCTTCTGCCTTTAGCAGGTCCTCCCAGTGTTCATATACAGTGTCGTCTTCTTTCACTTCATCACAAAAAAGAAAACCACAACACTATTTAGACAGACCCTTATGCCAGTACAATCTGGGACTGAGCAGCAGTATTATTACTGAATATGCATATATTCAACAGGAAATACCCGTTTCAGATTCCAACAACATTCAAGGACATGACTGTGTATGTCACCGAAGAGGAGTGGGGTCATTTGGACAAAAGGCAGAGGGTGCTCTACATGGACATCATGCAAGAGAGCATGAAGACTGTGTTCTCTCTGGGTACAGATTCATTTCTCCTCAGTAGTTAAGCTTTGTCGTCTCTAAAAAACCTGTTAAACTGTGGCTCAAAGTTCTGCTCTTGGATCTCTAAGGGCTCAGTCCTTGTGGTCCCCTGAAACTTTGTGAGACACACAGGCACTGCCACACAAGCACTTTTTTCCTAAATTGCTCTCTGAATGCAAGGAGGAGATCTACAGTCACACCTCAGCCCCATTGCTGTGGCTTAGCTGGGGAGTACAATCATAGAATTGCCCTGTCCACCCTCCCCGGGACTACAGCCAACTCTGAAGGCACTTGACTGAGAAATGAGTACATGGATTAAGATTTATACTACTCCTGGCTTACCTCATCCCTTATAGTTGGATAGCCTGGAGTTTCCAAAAGGGAAAAGAAACTACACCAGCTACACATGTTCTGTCCCTGTACATTTCTGTGGCTATCATCTCCTCTGGTAGGATTCTGTAATGCCCACAACTTCCATGAAATGATAGGCTGGGTTCGCAGCTATGAAAATGTGTAATAAATGCTCAGAAAATACACAGCAAACCATGGTACTGGCTGGACTGTTTTAGTCTGTGCAGGATTTAAGACTCCAAAACCTGGTGTGATCTCAGATGGAAAAAGGGGAAGAGCCTTGGATCCCAGATTGTCAGGATGCCAAGGAAAAGGCAATACCAAGAGAAGCCAGCACAAGTGAGAAATAAGTGACACCATCTCAGAAACCACCAGTGAAGGAATTAAAAACTGTAATTAAACCAAGCTGTGGTGAGATTTTTGCTGTCATAGCAAGTAGCAAAACTGCCACTTTTGGCATGAATGAGATATCTGCATAGACTAGGAGATGAATGGCTGTATTACAGGTCTGTGCTTTAGAGACAACCTACAAGTAAGGTGGGTTGCATGGATGAAGAATAATATAGGATGTGTACTTGCTGGAAAAGCATGATTTGGGAGGCCGGTTCTCTGATCAGCAGAAGCAGTCTGCTCCCCTGCTGCTGATTACGGTGGTTTTTATGCAGCACTGCTATGAGAATTTGCATACCTCATGGCAGATGTTAATCATGGCTTCCATGCAAACTGTAGTGGTTTCTGGCAGTGGACATCTCTATTCCCATATTATGCATTGAAAGCTGCAGTGCCTTAAGGTAACTGCCACTTTTCCAAAGAGTTTGGAAGTAAGGGTTGTTGTCAGATCCTTGGTTATGTCAGTGTTCCCTTGCGTGTGCTGTTTGTCAAAAACAACTTTAACATACACACACAAGGATCTTGAACGTGAAGAATCCAGCCCAAGATGAGACATTGGGACTGAAGTACCAGGTCCATCCCTCATACAGGAAGAATTCCCTTCGGGCCCAGATTTGGGCCCACATTCAGACATCGGATGTGGAGAACTCAACTGAGGCCCAGATCCCAGCCATGAAGAACTCCTGAGGTAGGGTGCTTTTAAGAAGGGCCTAGACTGGTCCAGCAGCAAGGTGGCTTTTTAAACCCAGAGTAAGACCTAATTATTTCCTCTCAGGACAGAGGAGTTTTGATTGTTTATTTTTTGCCTTGTAGGAGGCAAAAATATAGATTTAAGTCTATTGAGCAAACCAAAAGCAAAAAAAGGGTGAGGGGAGCGAGAGACAAGGAAGTACTGGAGAGAGATGGAAGTGACAGATACGGGCAGGCCATGGGCTAGCCAGGCAGCTGCCCGGAGTGCCAACTTATGGTGGGGGGGGCACCTGATGGCAGATGCAAGAGGCGCACAGTGCCCCTTCTAGCCGCCATCAGGTGCCACGCGCCCAGCTCCCAGCTCCCGGGCTGCAGCACCTCCCAGCGGTCACCCTGTAGCGGCCACCTGGGGCGGGGGCTGCATTAACCCCTGCAGCGCCAGCCAGCAGCGCCCTTCCGCACGGCCAGGCTCAGCCCTCCCCGGGCTGTGCGCCAGCAGCAGTACCCAGGCTGGGCCAGGCCGAGCATGTGCGTCCTGCCACTGTCAGCTCCACACACTCTCCCCCACGTGCCGGGCAGGGGTAGGGCCGCACACCCGCCCTCCCCCAACCCGGGGTGCAATTAAACTGTCTGCCCGGGGTGCCAGAATGGCTCAGTCCAGCCCTGGATACGGGATAGAGAGTGGACAGGCAACTGGAGTAGGGAGATATAAAAAGGAGCACAGACAGGTTTAAAGGACAAGATATGGCAAGTCATGAGTTAGGGAAAAGTATTTAAGAGGGGAGCAAGAGAAGCATTGAGGGATGTCTGAGAAGTGCCATGCTAGGGCTAGCATGATCCTTAAAATGACATACTCCAAAGCCCCATAAAGAAATTGATTCATAAGCGCACTAGTACTCTCTCCTGCTTTGGGCCAGAAAAGAGACGGAAAAAGCACTGCACAGACACACTATTAAATACTTTAAGAAAATGCAATATTTTAATTTCCTACTTTTGAAGAAATTTAAAACACCTAAGTGAGAACCATTATTAAAAAAAACATTTTCTTTCAAAAAAAGAAAGTTAAGGGTCAGAATCACTATACAGACAGCAATCAGAGGAACATGTAGAGTCATAAAATTCAGCTTTACACACTTCAAAAAGGATATGCTTAACTCACAAAAGATGGACTGCTTGGCAATGGCCGATTGATGTGAATTTGTACTAAGACCTTTTTAGTTAAGCTGATAAAAACCCCTGTGTTCACCACTCGAAGGAAAGCCACTTCTATAACAAGTCAGTAAAGAATGGACTTATTTTAAAGAAACTGATTTAAGAGGGTCCACACAAACCATATGCAGTCATAACCAACTTATGTTTATAATTCAAAGACAATATATTAGTATGAGTTAGGGCAACAGAATCTAATCCATAGATTGTGGACTAGACTGAGTTGCACCTGTGGGGTCACTCCTGACCTGACGTGCTCCTCAACATGAGTAAGGAAGTGAAATCTAGCCGTATAAAACAAACAGCAATATATGGAAGAAGTGTCATCTGAACACATCTTTACCAAAAAAAAAGGGACGGGCTAGAGCTATGAACCCCCTTAGAGCCAGAGGCAACTCCCACTGAATTCAAAGGGCACTGGATCAGAGCTTTAAAGGGTAAAACTGAGCCTGCTCTTCCTAGGAGGCACTGTGCCTCAGCCATCCAACCCCTAATTAACTACTTCGAAGAGTTTTAAATACCTACTTACACATTAACAAGCACCACATTTTTCATACAGGAAAGTATGACATTTAAATAGATTAACTGTAGCTGTGCTAACACTTTGAACACAAACTAGAGTACTCTATTAAAACTAATGCAGGTTTATAAACCTTTTCTCATGGGAGAAGTTTTGGAGACCAAGCAACAGCATCCAATTTATAGCTTTATTAGAGAGGCCAGTCAGCAGGGATCTTAAGTGGGAATCAGTTCAGGTCACTTTATTTAAATCCACCTGAATTAAGGAAGCCTTAGTTAAGTGAATTATGTGAAGACACCTTCATTTTGAGACCCATGGTTAGAGACATTTAAGAACCCCTTAGCTAAATTCACCTCATTTAAGAGCATAAGCATCAAGGGTCATTTAGGAGTAGCAAGCTGCAATGAAGAGAGCACCAACAAGGTGCATCTAAAAGTCATCTCAAAGGCCATTTAAATACACCTTATACTGTTCGGGACATCTCTCAGAGTACCTCAGACAAGTATGCTTAGCTGCATCCCCATACAGAACAACTTTAACAGAGGGTGCCTGGTCCAAACCCATGCTTGGTGTTAAGCCACTTACTAGAGTAAGCAGATGTGGGAATGATTTGATCCTCTAAGTTTGCTGACTACATCACAGTAAAAGATGGCTGAGGGCAGGGTCAGTTCTATAGCACTTGAAAGGCCTCTCACTTAACTACACAGTATAAAAACCATGTTTGCCTTAGTGGGGTGTAAGTCAGAAGGATAGCCACATATAGCAATGCTTTGTTTGCCACGTTTACAGTACGAGGAAGATGGATCAGGCAGTTGTTGGAGCAGCGGGAGGCTGACGTGGTGTGGTAGCGAGGGTTTCAGAAGTAGATGCCTGGGATGCAATTTGAGAAGAGAAAGGCCGGGCGATTTCTGGGAGAAGGTTACTAGGATTAAGAAGAAGGGGAAAAGGCAAAGAGGCCACAGCAGCAGCCTGCTGGCCCAAGAGAAGTCCCAAATTGTATACATTGGAATTAATGAGATCATTACCCGGGAGGAGGACATTAAGCTGTTTCTGAATCTCTTGCAGGACCTGTAGCTGACTTTGCTGATTCAGAAGAAGCATATCCATGTTCTCCCTCATTCTCCTCACTGTGTAGAGATAAAAGGGTTAATTTCTACAATTGTAAGTGTCATGACTGGTACTTCAGAAACCCTTTTTATACTTACACTCTTCAAATATAAGTCTTGACCGGTCCATTGCTACTTGCTCTGCATCACCACTTTGTTGTTCCTCATGACATACTACAGAAGAGGAATGAGAATAGCGTGTACTGCTCTAAGTTCTTTTTAAAGTCACATATTTACATTTAGCATGAATTATTTAGTAAACTTAAGGCAGAATGGAAAATATAGGCTCAATTAAAGCCACGTGGATAAGCTCTTTACTGCCTTGCTCTAGATCAGGAGGAGTGCATATTACAAATGTGAAGTTAGGCCATTTTAAACAAACACACAGGAGTCATTTCATGACCTATCTTAAGTTCCGAGTTCACTATAACAACATTACAACTTAGTGTTAAAAGTTTTCAAAATTTGATTGTAAGCACCTAATCTTTGGTCCAGCCTACTTTCTCTCTCAGTTATAGCAGGCCAATAGAGGAAGGGCAGAGACTTACCTCACACTCCCTTGATTGGCACTGGTGAGAGGGACCAACAAAGTAGCAAAAACTAGATTTCTCAGAGTCAGGTAAACATTTTTGCTGATTGCAATTCTGGACTCACTTTTCTTACTCATTTCAAATCTGACAGGCAAATATCTAATTGAGAACCAGGCTGAATTCTATGAATTCTGAGAGCAATGTGACTTCTTTCCATGTACAGCCGGTCCCCGAGTTGTGAACGGTCGACTTACGACCGTTCGCAGTTACAACCAAAAATGTCGTAAATGGCGGACCCCGAGTTACGAACGCGATCTGCGCTTACGAACAGCGCGGTTGCGTGTAACTCAATGGGGTCCGACTTACAAACAAACTGAGTTACAACCAATTGCTTGGTCCGTAACCAGTTCATAAGTCGGAGACAGGCTGTACTTAATGTGGATTGGGCCCCCCATGTGTAAAATACACTCAGTTGCAACAACTACGGAGGAACAATTACGCTCCATAATAAACTGAATCAATTTTTCTCTTTTTAAAAGTAGGATTAGTATTAAGCTGATGCTATGTTCCTTGATTAGAAATTCGCCTATCAGTCTGGAGTAAGACAAGTGGGTCCAGAATTGCAATCACCAAAAATGTTTACTAGACATTGAGAAATCTAGTTTTTACTACTTTGTCGGGGAACTATTTCTTCCTAATAGTAAGATGTAAAAAGGAAGTGAGGTTGTACCTTTTTGGAAAGGAGAGTTAATTGTGTGTAAAAACCTTGATTTTTTTTTTTTATTGCAAGTTCCAGGAATAAGAAGTTTGTAATCCTTGCTGTTTATGTTGGGAGGGTCAGCTAGATAATTCCATTATCTATCGATTAGGAGTTTTATATGCTTAGTTTAAGGGAAGTTAAATCTTTGGACAAAGCTTCTCTCAAGTGTTTTTATAAGATGTGACTATTGAAATAAAAATCAATTTCCCTCTCAATTATGCTGTGATTAACTGCTCTGATGAATCAGGGCCTTAATCAGCTTTCATTTCACTGGAGGTCATAAGACTAACTCTCTAGTCATCCATTGTAGGCCACACTTGAATTTCTCATTAAAAATGAGAATTTAATGCTCTCCAGCTAATCATTTGTGTATGTGATATACACAAACAAGAAAGGAACTCAGTTTTCTACCCCATATTTTCTAGGCTAATTTAATAATATACAAGATTATGAAGTTTGTGCATGAGATTCTTATTTAGTAACCCCTTGACTTTAATATCATGAAGTGCTCCCAGAAGAAATGGGTACAACACTGTACCATGTATATTAGAAGATACCTCTGTTAAATAACCAGCTAGTCAGTCTCTTCAATGATTGTGTAAATGGGTTTACGTCTACCTATTTTATTGCATAACGAGCAATGGATTCTTTTTAGAAGGAGAGGAAAACGGTTCTTTTCTTCCAGCATCTCAGAAGGGATTTTTTGCTTAACAAAGAGTCAATGTGTAAGGACTCTTGTTATGCTGGTTTATAGGATAAAAGAGGGAGACTTTCAATAATTCACTGATAGCTTGCATGCATCTAATATTTCATAGCTATCTTAGGGTATGTCTAGACACCTGGGCTATTTTGGGATACCAGAGGTATCCTGAAATAGCTACCCTGCGTCTTTGAAACACGTCCATTCTTCCAAAATATTTTTAGAAGTAACGGGTGCGCTATTCCAGCATCCCTGTAACTCTCATTCCACAAGGGATGTCTTGAAATAGCACATTATTTAAAAATTTGGTGCTGTGCAGACACATCAAATTTCAAAATATAATCGAAATAAGATACGCAAATTGCATATCTTATTTTGAGTTTAGGGTGCTGTAGATGCAGCCTTAGAGTTTTATGCTGCCATGCATCATCATAGTATCTGAGCATTTCTCATGTGAAATCAATAGTAAAGTCTCTAGGGGACTTCCTGGATTATTATATAAAGGTGTCAGTATTGGCACTATGGATGCATTTAAGTGGGTTTCTGTTAACATTTCATAGATATTCATAAAAACCAAAGTGTGGTGAGAGCCAGGGCAAGTATTTAGACTCAGAGAGTACAGGACTGTATACTAGACTGCCTATGAGCTGGAAATAAAGCAAGTACAGATTGTGTCCTCTATTTATTTAACCTAATCAATCAAATTACCTGTTGCACATTCACTGGACGTCTCTCTCACATGGACTTTCTGATGTTTAATGAAGTTTGAGCTCAGACGGAAGCTCTTCCTGCATTCAGTACATTTGTAAGGTTTCTCTTCCGTGTGGGTTTTCTGATGCCGGACAAGGGCTGAGCTGCAAGTGAAGCTTTTGCTACATGCAGCACAAGCATAGGATTTCATTTTCATGTGGGTTTTATAGTGTGCCATGAGATTTGAGCTCCGGCCAAAGCTTTTCTCACAGTCTTTACACTTATAGGGTCTCTCTCCTGTATGGATTCTCTCATGTACCACAAG